GCTGACAGATTTGGCATTGAATGGGGCCATGCCCACAGAGAACTTGTTGCATTCTGTAAGGATATAATGCAAATAGCAGAGAGTGTTATCCAGTGGCCTACAGGAGAAGAAATTGAAAGAACTGTTAAAGAATTTAATGAACTGAGAGGGTGTAACAGTTTTCCTGGAGTTTTAGGCTGTATTGATGAAAGTCATATTTCATTTACAGCCCCCAAAAATGAAAAGGTTGCACATTTCAACAGAAAAAATTCACTTCTGTCATTCTACAGGCTGTATGTAATGCAAAATTAAAATTTATTGATGTCTTTGGTGGTTGGCCAGACTCATCAAATAATGCCAGAGTTTTCCAAAGAAGTTTTCCTCTCTTTCTAAAGATGAAATGTAATCCTGAGACGATTTCAGAAAATTATCATTTATTAGGTGATAGTGCAAATCCATTATCCAAAAAATTATTAACTCCTTATCGTGATAATGGACACTTAAACAATATTAAAAAATATTACAATAAAATTATTAGTTCAACTAGAATTGTTATTGAACAAGCATTTGGACAATTATTTGGCAGGTTTAGAAGGCTGAAACATCNACACTTATTGTAATAAATGTATATTGACTATATTTAATATAAAGCTGCTATTTATGTTTATTTGTTCAATTTGAATTGTGTTAATTAAAATAAAATCTCAATATATAATAATTACAGAGTATTCTTACTGTATATTATTATTTAGTATATACTTACCAATTTTTTCTGTTTCAGAAAGTTGTAAAGACTGTACCAGTACATTTGTTTCCGATCTCTCGGACAACTGTTCTATCATATGTAAAAAATTAAACAGAGGAATTTCATTAAAATTTATAAAAACAATAATTATCTATTTGGTTAAATACAACATTCAATTTTAATATAAAATACGTACAGTACCTGTCAGTCAACGTATCCGTCGAGTGCCGAGTGCGTTAAGTCGGCGCTACTTCGACGTTGAAAAAAGGGAAAGAATTTTAACGAACGTCGAGATCGGCATCAAAAATCGGAACGCCCTGTTTCACTAAGACACAACTTTATACCTTCCCTTGCGCATCTTAAAAAAGCCAAATACTTCAGTCCAGATGCAGAGGCGACCCAGTGCCTTACAGCAGTGTTTCCCGACCTTTTTATCGCAGTGGATCGGTCAATGTTTGATGTTTTACCACGGCCCACTGAGGGGGAGACGTTGATTGTTTATATTTTAGATCAGGGCTTCTTAAACTTTTTTATTCACGACCCCATTTATGATTGTGATTTTTTTCGCAACCCAAAAAAAAATATAAAATAAAGATATATACAAATTTGCAAAAACAATAATGGTGTACTACCACAGTTCACTCTTGTGTTACAATGGAACAGAGACAACACTACACTAGTTCACACTACAATCAGTGTTGCTGAATCATTGTCTCGCTGCAACAGAAGTGACACAAAGTGCAACTCACAAAATCTATGACACAAAGCACACCATTTTCAAATTCTCACAAATTATTTTCAAAATTTTGCTTTAAAATCTCGCTACCCCAAGATTTCGCTAAGCGACCCCATTTGGGGTCGCGACCCACAGTTTAAGAAATCCTTTTCTAGATTGATTTAATTTAATAATTTTAATTTAACTGTATTTAAACATGCCTTCAAAATAAAAAACAGTTAAATCTCATTATATTCATTTTTTGGTGTAACATTTTAACTCACTAGAATGCTAAATCAGTGAGAACCCCGAACCAGCTTGTTTCTTTGCAACAACATGGTTCCATCTGGGGGTAATAAGAGACGACGACACCCAAAGTGTATTTCTTATATGCAGTTTATTCCATCGTTCCGTCATCCGTTAAAAGTCACACAAACCCGAGAGAAATACACCATAGTAAATAAAATGGAAATACCAGTGATTTAACATTCATCGGGTGGCCCGGTACCATTTGATCCACGGACCGGTACCGGTCCGCAGCCCAGGGGTCGGGGACCACTACCTTACGGGATACAGGAACTTCGCATCACACCCACACCGTTTCGGTAAGCGGATCGATAGCACCCGCGATTGCGACGGACAGAGCGAAGACAAGTGTGATCTCTTTGTCAACCAAATTTACAGCACTGTTTGTGTAAATACGAGACTTACTCGTTAGCCATATCAATAACTAATATTCACGTTTTGTTCTATATCTGACTTTATGTAATAATACTCCACTCCTTTATCGAGCGTCAGTATTTGTATAAATTATATATATAAAGCGGTCAGAAATTGCGTACTTTGTAATCATTAAAACATCGCGTCCGTACCCCCTCCACCGTACACACTCGCAAACTCGTCACGTTCGTTTTTATACCATTTACCAAACATATTTTGTCTGGTCACCGTAATTTTACTCGAACAATTACGAGGCAGACGCTCAACGATCCGACACTTCCCTTCAATCTTTCCCTCCCCGCCAACATTCCCTCTAAGCTGTGCGGCCGCGCACTGCTCAAATTGTTGCCGCGCACGAGAATTTATGTGCCGCGCAGGCGAGCATTCACACCAATTTGAATTGTTGTTTACTTATTTCTCACTCTGTCTGCAACACGATTATTGCCGCGTATATTTCGATTAAATACATTAAATCAGTGACAAAATATTTTGTACAAAAGTATGTTTTAAAATGAATTTTAATCTCTACTTTATAATAAATTATTTTAATTTTTTATAGGAAAAAATAAGATTTTATATATATATATATATATAGTCTGTGCACATACATACAGACAACCTCCTACTCTTTTAATTAATGTAACGTAATGTCCCGTTTGACTTTTCTGCTCCCAAAGGTACGCTCTACCGCTCCGACAAGGTCTCAAACGTCTCATTCGGAGCCCGAATTGCGCCGTCTAGGGTCTCTAAGGGCAGCTTTTTATTCGTTTCAAACGTACAGCGCGTTTTTTTGGCACTGTTTTTCTCAGACGGCTTCGGAAGAAACGAAAATGGAAGATCGTATCTTCTGTCGTTCGTTCCCGAAGTTTCTCGGAATTAAACGTTGCAAAATATTTAGCCTCTTATTTTGGATCGGTAGGGCCAATTCCGACATTTAGTAAACAGACAATATCGCTTCGTTCGTTAGTAATCGCGAGCGTACCGAAACTTCGTTAACGGGTGACACCGAGCGTGTATTTTCATAGTTTCGACTAGAAATCCCGTCGTTTAAATTACCCGCATTTGCCGGTCGTTGGTTTAAACGGCCGACAATGGAAAGGAAAAGCCAAATAAACCTGGTGCAGTAGAAACGGAGAGAAAACCGCCGAGCAAATCCACCGACGACGAAACGAGAAACCGACATGACCGCCGATGGGAACCGGAAACGGACGGAAGCGGGAATTCCCACAAACGTCTAGCGACCGGGCGCGTTCCAACTTACTCTGATAGAGGCTCCCTCTGTCGGCTATTTTTGGAGGTAATAAACTCGCGTATAGTTACAGTGACCATACGTCCTTTATTTAAGAGGACAGTCCTTTATTTCACTGCTCTGTCCTTTAACTTTATTTATTTTCTAAAATAGGCATTTTGTCCTTTATTTTGTAAAGTTGACACAAAGTTTAAAAAATTTTTTTTAATAATATATTGAACAAGTTAGTCACGACCANTAAATAAATTATGTAAACACCACAGTGGAACTAATACATCCTATAAAAATCACTTCTATGAAAGCTAAAATTAATTTAGATTAAACAACACCTTAGTGTTGCTGGGAATATTTAAGGCATTGTTCAATCTAATATACCCTATGCATAAATACTCAAGCAATGCTGGAAAGATCTCTTTTGTATCTGGATAAATATTAAAGTGAACCTTATATAAAAACACAAGATGCTGTGGTCTGTTCAACTGATTATTGACAGATTACTTCAGATAAAACCTCAACCAGAACAAGCACCATAACAAAAACTGTAGTGCCCCACAATCTTTTTGAAAAACCAACTTTTATCTGTTGTAGAACCACGAGCAAATATAATCATCATCAAACGAATACACTATCAGATGACGGCTAAATGAAAAGGGCTTATCGCATCAGGACAAGATGGAACCAGACTCAATTATTCAAATATAACTGTTATTAATATGGGAATGCATTCTAAGTACAGACACCTCATCAGCCTACTTAAAGGTTAGACACATGGCAGTTAACACAATAAATGAAGTGCACCATGCCATAATATTGTAAATGCCAAAAAAGAAACTTTTCAGGAGAGGTAAAACACATTTTTTCTAATGAATGAATTCATTTCAATTTTTCAATAAAATGGTAAAAAAAACTCACTGTGTTACAAATCTCTGGAATATCAAAATGATGTAAATATAAGCTGCAACTTGCGCTCTGGCACTTTAAATGTTATATTTTCACATAAATTCATCTTCAAAATACAGCCACTTACACTGCCAATATCGCCACAATATTCTTTTGTGGCAGAAAACATTGCATTTAGAATTCAATTCTTCGATAAAATGTATTTAGAAAAAAATGGCATTTACAACGTTATGGCATTGGACACTTCAAATATCTAAAATATTGTTACAAAACAGTTTACACTCCGATATCATAAATAACACAGTGCACCATGTATACAATTACATAAAATACTAAATTAAAACTAATTAAAATTGTACAATACAATAATAAAAACGAGTGATAGTTGTAGTTAGCCTTGAACCGACAAATTAAACCGTCTCCGTAAAACATAATATTGGTTCTATCAATAATAAATTATTAGTTACATTTATGACTTATTATTTTTTTTTAATTTAAAAAATTTGGGTCTTACTTCACTCAATTTAACCTTACTTTCCCTCAGTTGTATATAACAGAAGAAAAGTATGGCAATTGGACAAAGTGACCTCCCAAAGAATTTTACATTTTTGGACTTGTGATCTTGAAATGTTGAAAAATGCAAAAAAAATTTGGGGGTATTTTCTGTATGGATGTTTGTTTGTGTGGGGTTTTATTTTATTTTATTCACTCTCTTTGAAGCTTAATAACTCTCATGCATTTTGTTCAAAATTTCTGAAATTTTACAGAAAGGTTTGTTTATTAGGGGGATTAATACTATTAAATTTTGGTAATTGAAGGTAGAGGAGGTGGAAAGATAAAGGGAGTCATCAGTATCTCCTATAGGATGGGACTTAGTGATGATTTTACCCATTACTAGCATTCACAATTTTTTTTTATAAAACCCATCCCTACCCTTAAATTAAGCTTTTTTGCCATTTTAGAGCAGTTAAAAATACAAGTATTTTTTAAGTAAATTTAAGTTTTTTTTAAATAAAAAGATTGTAACTAGGTCTCAAAAATAAGTAGCCAGGTAGGCTGATATGAGGCATTACCTTAGCATGCAACAACACGTGACTGCACATCGCAAACAGCACAAAGGATAGACTGGCCGGCTTTTAGTGGGAGGTTCAGACCTCCGACCAAACGCCAATCAGTCCGTCATTGAAGTTCAGATATTTTTCCACAATTTCTAAATCTTCAAACTCTGAAGGAGGAATTGAAAAACAGTCTATTTGCTTCTGACACTAAGGTGCACAAGGTCATTTGGGTTTTCTGTCACCAAAGGCCACAGTATTTCTTTGTGGACAGCATCCACCAACTTGTCAGATGGTTAGATAATTAGACAAACACCTCAATGCCCAACAGGTATTCATAAAGACAATTCGTTTGTGATGTAGAAATTTTATCTGAGAGGATTTGTTTCAAACACACCATTTGAAATGATATCCAATATTTCAGTTACTCTCAGTAATCAGTTATAAGCATGCAGCTAGCAATTTTTGTTTTTACTCATCCACAACAGACAAAAACAATTTAAAATACAGTATATCACTCAATTTAATTCAAGTCATTAATAAACATATTATCAAAGAGAGGCACAAAGTGATCAATTCAAAAAAATGTTACAATTTTCATGATGACTCAGGAAAAATGTTTTGTCTGTGAAAAATAGTCATCAAAAATCATAAACAAACCAAGAACCTTTACAGAACTCAAAAACAATAATGACAGTATGGCACGCTTAAAACAAACTCAACATACAATTTTCAGTGAAAATCTTGGCTTGTGTTTCAAAAAAGTATACACCATTAAACACCATTTAAAAGGAAACTGAAACGAATAAAGCTCATCCAATGATCATGTCAGAAACTGGGTGTTTCGTCAAAATTCCTACAGACGGGCACATATCACTGCTTCTAAATTTTGCCATTCACAGTTTTATAACAAGTTTGTAACATTTCATGCAATACAGTTGGCCAATCGAATCATATTAAAGTTTTCTGTTCTGAAACCGGGGATTACCAAAACACTCTATTAGTATTTAACACAGGACGACTTACCTCAGAAAGAATTCCTCCTCCACAGCCCACATCCAAAATTTCCAATCCTTGCAGAGGCAGAGGTCCTTCGGCGGCCTGGGGCGAAACAGCTCCAGTTCTCACCAGACCATCCCGTACCAGAGACACCCGCAAGGGATTGAGGGCGTGCAGACCCTTCATTGCACCATTCTTATCCCACCAGCCAGAAGCCAGGATTCTAAACTTCTCCACTTCCTCCGCATCCACCGTTCCCGCGTTGGCACTCCTTTATCATTGGCAGTAAAAAAAAACTAAGAATTAGTTTTAAAAACAATTGTAGCTTAAAAATTATTGGAAAGAGAATAACGAATGCAGCGAGTTCGGTTAATCGAAATAAAGATAAATGAGAAAGCCCAGCATGGCATTTGGCCAGATAACAATTAGGACAACCAATTTTGTTCCGGGAAATCCAAAATAAACATAACATTAACACCCAGCCTTTATGACCACAAATAACAAAAGACCACAACAACAACACAACATCAGAAACCAAATTTTTTTTGGATAATGAGATGATGCACGATAGTGAAAAGTTGGTATCTGAGCAAGCAAAATTATTTTGTTATTTCAAATTAACATAGCACATCAATATATAATAAAATGCCAACAAATAAGATTTTGAAGAACAAACACTTCATTTTTATCGTCACCAACCAAAATGGCTTATACAAATACTATTCAATAATCATTCATAATGTTCAAAGAAAGGTTCCCAAGGCAACAGGTTCGTTTGTGATGTAGAAATTTTAGGACGATTATCCGGCAGTCGTTGGCAAGACAATTACAAAAGCAGGATGATGACATACTGAATTGCAATAATACTACTCCATACAAAAATCAAGAATACTTCTTACTAAAAAAATTCTAGATCACTAACCCTTAATACTACTTACACTAAGAAAGAAAGATCAAAGATGGGGACAAGTAGTAGTAAAGACAATGGACAAGACAGAACAAAAGTACCCGGGTCGTACGAACGTCTTTCCCTCACGGCAAGGGGCCAGAAACTTCTCACGGACAACACACGCTTCCGTCTTCTTTTCCTCGGTTCCAGGAAGGCATTTTTTGTATCTGAACCATCGGTCACCGATCCGAAACTCACATCCTGCCAAGTCAAACGCAGATTCCCGCGCACCCGACTCCAGCCACGGAATCGGGTTCAAGCAGAAACCCCAACAGACTCCAGCCAGGGTGTCTGCTCAAAGTTGTGCCGTCATGTCTCTCTCCTTTCACTGTCCGCTCTCTTTTCGAGCATTGGTCCAAAAACTGCCCTTCCTCCACCTTGTACTCGTTACACCAGACATTCCAGGAAGCGGTCTTTGCCTCCAAGAAGGAAATCCCCAAGAAAATTGAAAAGTTTTCAAAGGTGGAAAACACAAAGAACAGGGAAAAACATAGTATCAAAAAGACAAAAATAGACAATAAGACATACAGTAACACGTCGATCTAACGAAGTAAGATAGCAAATGCAAATGACACCATCAAGACTCTAAGGGTTATGTACGGTTCAGGCTCCGAACAAGGGGTTTTTCAATGCCCAGAATCATACAGCCTCTCGTACGAGCAGAAAAGTCAAACCATACCCATACATGCAATACTTCAAGAGATATTTGCCTCCAAAGGTCAGTTTTTAACACATTTTGCCAGCCTCAACCGATACTCCGCACGTAGTCATGTACTTTGGTGCCGGCTATTGCTCGCACCTCACCATCCAGGTGGGTGCAAGCCTACACACTCCCTAAAACCATATAACATCAAGTACTCCACAAACAGTCAAGCGGGCTATTCGAAGCCAGCACAGTTGCACAAGCTAAATAATTAAACGCGAGTCTTAGTAGAGGGACGCAACTGGCAATCTCATGCGACCCGATTTTGGGGGGTTGTATCTCACAAAGGGTGGCTAGTAGAAGGGTGGTTCCTTTAGGGACATTCCAATTTTCAACACAAGTGTTGAGTGTTGAAGTCAACAATTTGACATCAACAACAACATTCCAACTTCATACGAAGTGCTTAGTTCCCATAATTCCTTTCTCAGCAAGATGGTGGACAAGTGTATAATTTCTTCTGCTGTTACAGCATTTTGCAATATTTTTAGTGACAATGCAATGATTTTGTACAAAAGGAAAAGAAATCATGAAGATGACGATGAAAAACTGTTTCTACATGTAAATGTAGCAGCTATGGAAGAAAACATAAAGAGAAAGAAGGCCAAAATAATAGGATATGTAGAAGAGATAGTTCCTTTATAATCTATGGAAGATTTTAAATCTCACTTCTGTTTGAGGCATTCAACAGTTGAGGTGTGTAAAAGTGTTTAAATTATAATTATCTGTTTAGTTTGTCAAATATTTTACTGTAATTATTTTCACAAAGAATAGAAGCGTTTAATTTTAAAAAATTTATCTGTTTTGAAACTTTAAAATATATATATAACTTTACCTAAAATATTTTGTTTATGTGGCAAATGAAACGATATTTAACCAACAATTACCATTTTAAGAAATTTTATTTTTATTTCAGCATTTGATGCAGATGATTATTTTGGAGCCTACTAAAAGAAAACCAGCAATAAAAAGAGAAAGTTCCATATTATTGTCATTATGGTTGATTGACAACCAAGAATCTTTTTGAGGTGTTGCTGACAGATTTGGCATTGAATGGGGCCATGCCCACAGAGAACTTGTTGCATTCTGTAAGGATATAATGCAAATAGCAGAGAGTGTTATCCAGTGGCCTACAGGAGAAGAAATTGAAAGAACTGTTAAAGAATTTAATGAACTGAGAGGGTGTAACAGTTTTCCTGGAGTTTTAGGCTGTATTGATGAAAGTCATATTTCATTTACAGCCCCCAAAAATGAAAAGGTTGCACATTTCAACAGAAAAAATTCACTTCTGTCATTCTACAGGCTGTATGTAATGCAAAATTAAAATTTATTGATGTCTTTGGTGGTTGGCCAGACTCATCAAATAATGCCAGAGTTTTCCAAAGAAGTTTTCCTCTCTTTCTAAAGATGAAATGTAATCCTGAGATGATTTCAGAAAATTATCATTTATTAGGTGATAGTGCAAATCCATTATCCAAAAAATTATTAACTCCTTATCGTGATAATGGACACTTAAACAATATTAAAAAATATTACAATAAAATTATTAGTTCAACTAGAATTGTTATTGAACAAGCATTTGGACAATTATTTGGCAGATTTAGAAGGCTAAAACATCCACATGTTTTAGCCTTCTAAAAGGGATTTGATTCCAGAAGCGATTATTACTGGCTGTGTATTGCATAATTTGTGCATTTTATACAATGATATACCTCCAGATGCTTGTACTATAAATGATAATTTTCAAAACAGTTCTCAGAATTTTGGAGAAGAGTATCAAGATGGAATTAGCAAGAGAAAATTGCTAAATACATACCAATCATAATAGTTAAAAATATCTATTTTTATTTTTTTTCTATTAATAAATTAAAATCAAGTTTGTAATTATTATTATTGTCTGCTACTATGTTGTGAATTTTTAATCACAATGATCCCACGTTCATCTGCATTTATAACGTATAATTTAAACAAAATTTTATTAAATATTTGAACCAGTTTCAGGAAAAGTATTAATCATATATTTAACATTTTGTTATTACTTTTAGTTATTTGTAATAAACTTTGTTCATTATTGAAAGTGCTTTGATTTTTGAATAGATGTATTTTGATACATCTTAAATACATTTATTAGTCATCAAAACAGAAAAAATTTTATTAAAATATCCAAACATTTTACATTTTATTTTCTGCCAATTTTAACAAAACATCTGTTAATTTTTCCATGGCTTTTAATTTTTCTTCCTCTATTTTTTTAAATCATTCCATCATTGTTCTTCTACCTCTGCTTTTCTGTCTTCTAACTCTTTTTTTTAAATAATTTCTAAACCACAATGGTAATTCATCTCCAGTTCTTTTGTTCTTTCTTGGTCTTTCTGTGGTTTCTGCTTCTCTTTGGAAATTTGATGCACTGGGAACAGAAATTAAATTTTCATTTTCATTTGATTGAAAATTGTTTTCAGAAGTGCAAGGCAAAGAACTTCAAAGATAACTACTGGGGGATTTACATTTAACCTATTTCCATAAACTTCTTGAAAGTTATGGAAAAACTCCCATTTTATGGCATCGCCACCAGACTCTTTTCCCTGTAGGTACACATTAAATTTTGCTACTTAGCATGGCATTCCGTGGACCGAAACGCGTACCCACTTCGTTTGAGATTGTCGGAAATCCTCTGCCATGATTTAGATTTTTGAATCGGTTTGATGAATTCTTCCTCCGTTTCTAATCTCGTATCTATTAGTAATAGTGTCCATCGGCGAGTCCATTCGTTAGCTTAAAAATTATAAAAAAATATTTATTTTGCTTTCCTTTATAGTTTGCCATAATTTATTATTTACACAAAATCTTAAACATAATATCCGATATATTATACATTATACTGCATACTGTTTTGGTATTGTCAAGAAAATTTTTTTGATCTATTACATTTAAAAAGAATTAATAATTATAAATTTTAACAGAATGTTTCGTTCATTCATTAAAATAAATATCATAAAATTAATTTACGAACACTTATTGTAATAAATGTATATTGACTATATTTAATATAAAGCTGCTATTTATGTTTATTTGTTCAATTTGAATTGTGTTAATTAAAATAAAATCTCAATATATAATAATTACAGAGTATTCTTACTGTATATTATTATTTAGTATATACTTACCAATTTTTTCTGTTTCAGAAAGTTGTAAAGACTGTACCAGTACATTTGTTTCCGATCTCTCGGACAACTGTTCTATCATATGTAAAAAATTAAACAGAGGAATTTCATTAAAATTTATAAAAACAATAATTATCTATTTGGTTAAATACAACATTCAATTTTAATATAAAATACGTACAGTACCTGTCAGTCAACGTATCCGTCGAGTGCCGAGTGCGTTAAGTCGGCGCTACTTCGACGTTGAAAAAAGGGAAAGAATTTTAACGAACGTCGAGATCGGCATCAAAAATCGGAACGCCCTGTTTCACTAAGACACAACTTTATACCTTCCCTTGCGCATCTTAAAAAAGCCAAATACTTCAGTCCAGATGCAGAGGCGACCCAGTGCCTTACAGCAGTGTTTCCCGACCTTTTTATCGCAGTGGATCGGTCAATGTTTGATGTTTTACCACGGCCCACTGAGGGGGAGACGTTGATTGTTTATATTTTAGATCAGGGCTTCTTAAACTTTTTTATTCACGACCCCATTTATGATTGTGATTTTTTTCGCAACCCAAAAAAAAATATAAAATAAAGATATATACANTAAAAAATTTATCTGTTTTGAAACTTTAAAATATATATATAACTTTACCTAAAATATTTTGTTTATGTGGCAAATGAAACGATATTTAACCAACAATTACCATTTTAAGAAATTTTATTTTTATTTCAGCATTTGATGCAGATGATTATTTTGGAGCCTACTAAAAGAAAACCAGCAATAAAAAGAGAAAGTTCCATATTATTGTCATTATGGTTGATTGACAACCAAGAATCTTTTTGAGGTGTTGCTGACAGATTTGGCATTGAATGGGGCCATGCCCACAGAGAACTTGTTGCATTCTGTAAGGATATAATGCAAATAGCAGAGAGTGTTATCCAGTGGCCTACAGGAGAAGAAATTGAAAGAACTGTTAAAGAATTTAATGAACTGAGAGGGTGTAACAGTTTTCCTGGAGTTTTAGGCTGTATTGATGAAAGTCATATTTCATTTACAGCCCCCAAAAATGAAAAGGTTGCACATTTCAACAGAAAAAATTCACTTCTGTCATTCTACAGGCTGTATGTAATGCAAAATTAAAATTTATTGATGTCTTTGGTGGTTGGCCAGACTCATCAAATAATGCCAGAGTTTTCCAAAGAAGTTTTCCTCTCTTTCTAAAGATGAAATGTAATCCTGAGACGATTTCAGAAAATTATCATTTATTAGGTGATAGTGCAAATCCATTATCCAAAAAATTATTAACTCCTTATCGTGATAATGGACACTTAAACAATATTAAAAAATATTACAATAAAATTATTAGTTCAACTAGAATTGTTATTGAACAAGCATTTGGACAATTATTTGGCAGATTTAGAAGGCTAAAACATCCACATGTTTTAGCC